GGCGGGGTTGCTCGGGTCGGGCTCCTGTGGTGCGGGCGACGGCTTCTGCAGAAGCCGTCGCCCGCGCCTCGCCTGTCGCGTGAATCGTGTCGTGCGACCGCCTTTTGTTGTAAAATTCTCGAGGTGGATATCCCTAACCAGTCGTTGATTCGTCTCACAGTCTCACGTGTTTCAACAACCCAAATGACGTGTGAGGGCGATGCCCTGGGTGCTGCGGAAAGCGCCGGGCGCAGGGGCGGCCCGCGGTGGCACGCCAGCCCGGCCGGCGGAGGAGCCCGAGGCGGAAGCTTTGCGCGCCCAGGCGGAGGCCGACCTCGCTAAACACCGAGCGGCGGCGGTGCGCGGCGAGCGGGGGAGAGCCAGTGGCGGGCGAAGCAGAGGGAATTGGTGGGCCTGGTGGCGGCGGGCGATCTGGCGCGAGATGGAGACCGCTCGCGCCAGGGTGCAGATCGCGCGGATCGTCGCGCAGTGGCGAGGGCGGTACCCGGAGGTACTCGTCGTGGAGCATGCGACGCTGCTGATGGAGCTGCATGCTCTACAACCAACTGGAGGCACAGCCTCAGGGGGCCCTCTGCGTTGCGACTGGATGTCCGAGCAACTTGAGACAAGTCGGCGACGGGCGCCCCATGTCCATGTTTGCAAGTGGCGTTGTTTGATTGTGTGTGCGACTCTGATCAATCTTCGGCAGCTCATACTTGATGAACTGCGACGGTTACTCGCTCTCTTCGCTGAGACCCAGGAGGCGAAGCAGGCCTCGCGCCCCCCGCCCCCGACCGACCGCCCCTCCCTCGCTCGCTCGCGGTCGGAGCTGGCGCGTGGCACACTCCCTATCTGGCGCAACTTCTGGATCGTCCTACTGGGAATGAAACCGTTGGGCCGCATTTGTTCACAAAGCTTGCTGCGTAGACCGACCCTCCGATTTGAGAGAGAGAGAGAGAACAAGGGGAGTGAGTGCGCGTACCAGGACCACCGCCCTCCGCTCTCCGCTCTCGCCCTCCGCCCTTGCCCTGGCTGGCCTGGCCCTGGGTGGCATCTCCTCATCATCACGCGCCAAGTGGGAGGGAAGTGGACGGGGCCCTGAGCCGACCTAGCCCTAAACGGAATGGGGCGCCCAACACGTGCCCGGATTACTGTGCCTCCCCCGGGTGCAGCCTTTCGGTTCGTGAAGGGTCGGTGCGTGTCGTGACCCCCTGGAACACCCGTACCCCCGCACCATCTCCGTCGCTTGGTTCCATAACCTCTCTGCCACCACCGGGAGGCGGCCAGGGCTTCATAGACTCGGTCGAGAGACCCCAGATTGGCATCCATGCCTCTCTGGACAGGGTGGCCCGCCACAACGACCCCTGGAATTGCGACTCGCCGCTTTCCTCCCGCTGTGATTCTGTGTGACCTCTGTGTCTTGATTTGCCAACAATATACCTACAACCACCCATATCTCATTCGTCCGCGATCCCGCTCTTTTGGAGAGCAGTGTTCAAACTTTACCGGTATGAGACCGGTATTTGGTGATATTTTGATTAGTTTTGGAGTGGTATGGTATAGTGGTATGCAAAAGTGGTATGCGGGGTTTTCATTAGTTGTAGCGGCTGTCGGTGTGGTCCCGGGGGCAAAATCATGCAAAAGTGCGGGTATTACCCGGGTATACCCGGGTTTTTCCAGGTATACCCGCAAAATACCGGGTATTTTGCCGATTTTGCCGATTTTGCCACCAAGAAGGCACTCCGACTCGCTTTGATTTCCGTGAGGCAACTGGTATCCCGTACCACTTTTTGATTAGTGCAGGCCTTGGGTTTGATTAGCCAAAAACTCCCATACCGGTAAAGTTTGAACGCCATTTCGAGACATTCGCCAAGAACGCTAGCTACATGGGAGGGCTTCGTGAAGGATGGATTGAAAAACATTCGAACAAAGAAGAGGCGACGGGAGGAACCGGCGGAGGATGCAGTGACGTGAAACACACACACACACACACACACACACACACACACACACACACACACACACACACACACACACACACACACACACACACACACACACACACACACACACACACACACACACACACCGCTCACCCACGCGCACTGGGCCTTGCACTTTGAATGCCGTGGGGCTCCTGTCGTCAGACGTGGAGACGCGAGGGTTGCCCCCCCTTGCCCCACCACCTCGTGTGTGTGGAGAAGTTTACCTTACCTTACCTTACCTGAACACTGTTGGAGAGCCGCACCTCGTGCTGACCGACTTCGAGAAGTGTTTTCAGGGCGACGACGATAAGCCAGACATATGCATGCACATGACATGTGCATGTCATGTAGGTGCAGTCTTTTTCTTTTTCCTGTCTAGAAAGAAAGAATTTAATGTCAGAGGCGGAGGCTGATCTCGGTTGAAGACTCCGGCCGGCGAGGCCGCACGCGGGGTCCGCTCGATCTCGCCAGAGTCGTTCTCAGGCACGTCGCTGACAGTCCCAGATTGCTCGCCGCTTCTACGACGGCGAAAGGCAAAGGCAAGCCGAGGGGTGACGCTCTTCTTGGTGAAGGTCTTCAGGCGCTTGTCGGCGTGAACCACCACGCCCGTACCGGCGAGCTGCTTGGAGGTGTTCATGATCCGGTCGAGCCGTTTAGGCCACAGAGGCTCTGCGCCCATGACCACCAGCACACCCCCTGCCTCCCGGTTGAACCCCCAGTCCTTGTACTCGACCATTAAATAAACTCAAAGGTCCACCACAGCCTCCAGCCTCCACCTCCACCCGCGAGCCGCCACCGCTGCCGCCCGCGACGCCGCCCGCCGCGTCAGATTGCCGCGACGCGCGCATCGAGTCGCGTCGGAGAGCCGCGCCGCACCAGCAGCAGCATCTGCACCACCAACAGCAGCAGCAGCAGCAGCACCACCACCAGAGAGAGAAGCGCACCTGCCCGACGCCGCCCGCCGCGTCAGATGCTCGCGACGCGCTCGTCGAGCCCAGTCGCAGAGCCGCGCCGCGCCAGCAGCAGCATCTGCACCATCAGCAGCACCATCGCCACCACCAGCAGCAACAGAGAGAGGCAGTGCAGGCGCAGAAGCACTCAGAGCGGCGCGCAGCGCCGCGCACGCCACGCTGCGGACCGTCGGACGAGCGCAGCGTACGTCGGCGGCGAGCCGCGTCGCCAGCCGTCTCGCGAGAGAGCGGCGCCGCCGCGTGCGCGCAGCAGCCGCCGCGGCAGAGGCGAGCCGCGGCGACGTCCGCACAACGGATAACTGCCATTGGCGGTTTTCACACACACACACACACACACACACACACACACACACACACACACACACACACACACACACACACACACACACACACACACACACACACACACACACACACACACAGTACATCCTCGCTACCCAACGCGGCCAAAGGATATCCAACTCGAGAACCTCGAGAACACACAGTACATGTCCCCTCCAAAACTGCGGCGCGGCGCGATGAAGAGCGGGGAGGGCAACGCCGCCGCCGCCGGCTCCGCGGGCGCAGAGGAGCCACTCCCACCCGGGGCGCCGCCCAACGCTGACGGTGCTTGCCGCGACGGCACGGCGCCCGGCTCCGCAGCCGCCACTGCCGCTTCGATCAGCGGGTCGGGGGCGATCGGGACGGAGATCCTCGTTCGGCGGCTTCGCGGGCACTCAGAGCGCGCGGCGCACACCACGGTCCCCCTTCCGAGCGAGGCCTCCCTGGCCGGTGCGAGCGGAGCGGAGTCGGATAGCGCGCGCGCACAGCGCGAGGAGCGCATCACCGCGTGGAGAGCGGCGGCGGCGGCGGCATCCGCTGCGGCGGCGGCAGAGCAGGAGATAGTACCAGAGCGGGATCATCTCGCCGCAGAGGCGGCGGAAGCTGCAATTGTGGTGGCGGAGGCGGCGGGCTTGCGCTTGCACCTCTCTAGCACGAGCAGCACCGGTTACAAGGGCGTGGTCAAGCACGCCTCTAGCCGCTTCTTCCAGGCGCAGACCAGGGTAGACGGACGAAAGTTCTTCCTCGGCTCCTTTAAGTCGGCGGTGGAGGCGGCGGTGGCGTATGCGAGGGCTGTCGGTCCCCGCCAGGGCCCCCGCTTTGGCGTCGGAGATCGCGTGCTGTGCCGCCGGGTGGAGACGCATCCACCGTCCGACGAGATCCTCGACGAGGAAGCTGGCGGCGAGTGGGATGTCGGGCGGGTGACGCAGGTCTGGCCCTCCAACTGGCTCGGCACCCGCGACGGGCGGGCCGCTCCTCCTTACCAGGTGCAGCTCGTCAGCGGCATGTACGTGTACCCGGAGCACGACAGCGACACGCACATCCGCCGCGGCCCGCGAGACGGCATCCGTGACGTGGCCGGGCCCGGCTCGTGCCCCCCTCAGCTGGCCGTCGAGCCGCCCGCCTCGTGCGACGTCGAGGTGCTCACGGCGGAGGAGACGGCGGCGCTTCTCTCGCCCGACGGGCAGGCGCTCCTGCGCGACGCGGCCGAGGCGTTCGGCGTCCCTCTCGAGGCCGGCGGAGAGCCCTACCGATGGCTCTCCGGCTGCGTGGTGCGCCGCCGGGCGGAGGATCCGCCGCCGGGGCAGCCGCTCTACTCGCCCGCCCGCATCCGAGCGGTCCTCCCGCCGGCCGGCAGCGGCGACCCTGTGGCGCGGCAGTGGCGGCTGGAGCTGACCGCATTCGTCGACGGCGAGGCGCGCGACGAGCCAGCCGCGCCGCTGCGCCTCCTCTCCAACGCCGTGGGGGAGGAGGAGGAGTGTGTGGGAGATCTCTCGGCATGGGGCGCTCGGGGCTGGAGATGCGAGGCGCTGCCGGTTGTGCGCGCCCTCTCGTGCGGCGAGGGCGCGGTGCGGCTCGACCGCCTCGTCGCGACGGCGCGCTCGGGCATCGCCGCCATCGACAAGTGGGCCGAGCTGCTGCACGAGGCGGGCGTGTACGAGGACGAGTCCGCGTCCGGCGAGCACAAGTTTGTGGTGATTGGCGAGTGGTCGCAGCACCGCATCCTCTTCTCGCGCCTGCACGGCGCTCGGGCGGCGCTGCGCGACTTTTTTGACGAGATTACGCACCCGGAGATGGAGGAGGGGGACGCGGCGGTCTGGCAGAGCTGGCTCGTGCGGCCGTTTGCCGAGTGGCCTTCTGTGCGCCGTGGCATCGGCACTGCGTGGGTGCGGTGGCTGTTTGGGCCCGAGCAGCGGCGCGCGGGCTTCCGGGCGCTGCTCGACTTTGTCGATCACGAGCACGGGCTGCCGCGCGAGGAGCACACCGCCCGGGACGACGCCGGGCGCTTCAGCCTCGCGGGCGCCGCGTATGCGGCGCTGATTGGCGCCGTGGGCGAGCTCGAGGCGGACGGCTTGATGGAGAAGCTGGACGACCCGGATCGCGAGGGTTGCGCCGTCTGCCGCCGCACGGTGCGGAGCTGCGGCGAGTGGACGCAGCTGTTCCCGTGCCGTCACTGGTGCTGCACCGAGTGCGTCTACAAATGGCGTCGCGCCGCGGAGCAGCGTGGCCAGGAGGAGGACGAGGAGGAAGCTCAGGTAGCTCACCTTGGCGCCTGTCCGCTGTGCCGCGGGAGAGTGGTGCGGTGGAGCCATATGTGCTTGAGGAGGCGAGCCCCGTTTTCGTAATCAATGAAGCAAGCAAGTACGGAGTGTCAACACCGCATGCTGTGTGAGCGCGTGCAACATACTCCCTCAGCTCCTGCCTCCTCTCCGCTCTCGCGCCACCCCGCGCGCGGGGGCGTGCGACGTCTGGTGTAGCGACCCTATTAGCGAGGCGACGGTGGGACGGTGTCCGACCCGATCTGGGGTTTTCATTTAATGCGGCTCTCTACTCGTAAAAAGCCGTATCTAGCGTATCGACCAATAAAATACCGGGGGAGGCCTGCGCAGCCTCTAACTATTTTAACCGTGCCGTCAGCACGCCCGTGGTAGCTGTGCAACCGTCAACCCGCCTCTCAAGCGCAGCAAATGGCACCCACCTAGTGCGTATACTTTGTGCCCTACCAGGTGAGCAAGGTGGGTGGGGTCTGCTGCGCCTGAGCGGATCCTTCCCCACCACGGCATGTCACCCCTCCGTGACCGGCGTGAAGCGATCTATATCCACGGGGTCTTCACTGACAGTCTAGAGTCTAGCGTGCCTACAGTTAGAGGCTAGATAGAGCCGAGACGCGAGAGTCAATAGGCAGACTACAGAGCCGTACCGGGGGGAGAGGGTACTGACTGGGAATTCCCTTTTTGCTTTTATGTGTGCGAACCATGGAGCATGGTGCGGAGAACCTCGCTGCGATACCCACCGCGCACGGCCCGCTTGCTGGCTGAGGGAGGTGGTGTAATCTCGGCGAAGCGACATGTGCATAGTCGTGACTGGCGGCGTCGGCTCTGGCGATAGGGGCCGCGGCGGTCTGGAGAGCGGGCTTGCCGTCAAAGGTGTTATGCATAGTGTCGGGAGAAGGGGTGGCGTCGGAGAAGGTGTTTGTGGCCAGGTGGCCATGCCCATGGGTAGGCGGCAGTCATTATGACATCCTCTCCCGTGTCCGCCCCACGCGGAGATGGACCCGTCCGCTGTGAGCGCGGCGAAGGCGTAATAAGTCGAGTAGATTGCGGAGAACCTGCCGGATCCGGTTGGCGCTCCGCTGCCACCGCTCAAAGAGGAGCCCCACGCGGTGTTGCTCCAAGTACCAAGAGCCCTGACCAGGCGGCTGCGACGAATCCCACGCTCTCCGACTCGTTCAACCCAGGGTGTACTCACAGAGTGAACACGCATCTCAGACATGCACATGCGCAACGTACGGGCAGACAGAGTCGCACCTTGTCCCTTTCGACTGTGTGTCGCCTCTCTATCGGCCTACTAGCTAGCACTTGGTGCGCTCACACCCTCACTTGAGCTCGACGAGGTACTCACGCATCGGACGGTCGTCCAAGCCATTCCTGCCGCCGTGCGCAAAGGTCGGTATGGAGGCGGCGCCGTCGGGGATCTCATTCCACGTCACGTCGTTCTCGCCGTTGATCGAGTCAGCGAGGCCGGGCGATCCGTCGTGGTTCGAGAGCAGCAGCCGGCCGGGATAGGCAAATACGAAGACGTAGTCGAGAACGTGGTGGTGGACGTCCTCGTCCGCGCCTAATCTCGTAACGGGCCCTCTCGGAGTGCTCGAGGAGAGTGGTCCTGCGCCAAAAATCGTGCGCGCCGCCGCCCGGAAGGAAGGAGAAGTCCCACACGCGGCACCATCTGTTCTCGAGAAGCAGTTCAGTGCCGACGTCGGTCGAGTAGATGGCGCTCCTCAGCAGCGCCGCAACCTCCGCCTCCGTGCGCCTTGGCGGCCGCTTCAGCTCAAAGGTTATCTGCCTGTAGACCGTGTCGCCGGTGTTGCGGATTTCCCACGACTCGCCGGGTTCGAGGAAGAAGACCTGTTTGTCGCGCACACTCTCGCAGCTCGCGCCGTTAAGCGCGTGCTGGCCCTCCTCCACCTGCCATCGCACCGTCGCATATTCGTGCGACGTGTGAAAGCTGCCGCCCGGCGGCAGCCGAAAGTCGGCGACCCGGACGCGATCGTTCTCGAAGAGCACCAGCACTGGTCCCGAGTCCAGCGGCCTCAACGGCGCGCGCGCCTTGACTGCCGCCGGCCGCGAGTCGTCGGCGGAGCGTGCCAGCACGTTGACGCTCCCGGGCTCTGGTCGCGGCATGCCGAGTGCGTCCCAGATGTTCCATGCTTCGTCGCTCACCGTATGCCGCGACGCTGCGGAGAGCGATGTCCCATGCTTCGACGCTGTTGCAAAGCGAGTCGCGAGTGACGCTGACACAAGGCGAGGCGCAAGTGAAGCTCGCATGCGGTATACCCTCATGGATGGTCGGGCGCGCGGTTTCTTTTTTAATATGTTTAGCGATCTTTTGCCCTGATCGCCGCGTGGTGACTTTTAGGTGTATTGTTGGCAGACAAGACTCAGAGCTCACACAGAATCACAGCGGGAGGAAAGCGGCGAGTCGCAATTCCAGGGGTCGTTGTGACTGAGAGTAAAATGTGAGAGAGGAATGAGCAATGTACTGAGCCGCAGATACAGCGAACGCCGGTCTCTGGCGCAGGCCCCATCACTACTACAGCGCATACGCGGCCGCGAAGCTCGCCTTCGCCCGCGGGTAGTCCGTCCACAGCTGCGTCAGCCGGCGGCGTCCCCCGTCGGCCCGCCACTCGTCGCGCTCGAAAGCGTCGAGGGCGTCGCGCCCGCCTCGCACCATGTGCGCTGTGTGCAGGTCCGACAGGTCTGCAACAAAGCCTCGTCGCGCGCGGCGGAGTGAGTCGACGAGCGCGGTGCACGCCGCGACGTCGATCGCGCCGCCGCGGCGCTCATTCTTCGCCAGCGCGCCGAGGAGGACGCTGGCCGCGCAGCACGCGTCCTCGATGGCCGCGCCCGCGCCTTGGCCGAGCGAGGGGAAGAAGCCGCTCGCCGCGTCGCCGATGAGGAGCACGCCTCCCCTGCTGTCGCGGTAATGAGTCGGGCTGCGCTGCATGCGCGCCCAGTAGATCTGGTCGGCGTTCGCGGCGAGGCCGCGCAGCACGAACCTGCCGAGCGCGTCGGGCTCGCCTCGCGGCTTGTACAGGGCCAGAAGGCCTTCTGCTGTCCTCGCCTCGGGAGGGACCTCGCCGTCGAGGCGGAAGTTTCCGTACGCCGCGTACCTACCGACAAGTACTCAGGGGATGCACAACAAGGACGGCAGCAATGGCGCATGAGGTGCACAGCGCGCACCTGTCGATGCGCCCGGAGCGCGAGCGGAGCGGCATGATCCCGAGTCGCGCGTGGCCCCGCATGCACGCGTGCTCGAAGCCGGGCGATGCGCCGGCTGCGGCGCTCAGGTGCGCGAACTCGCCGCCAGGCTGCAAGCGCGACACCTCAGGGAAGTTGTACAGGCGCTCGTGCGTGGTGAACTCGGGCAATGAACCGTCATTCTCATATACGAGGCGGAAGTTCGCCATGCCGCTGCCTTCGACGTGGTCGAGTGTATGCACCGTCGTCGCGCCCACTGCCACCTCGCGCTGCTTTGAGTAGCGACCGTCGGAGACGACGAGCAGGTCGACAGGGATGTCGTCGCCGTTGACGCTGACTTTGATCTCGCCGTCCGTGTACGAGTAGTGGCTGACTCCTGCCTCGTACCGGATGCCGTCGCCGCACGCAGATCGCAGCTTCTCGCAAACAATGTCCCACCGGAGGATTGAGCCAAACTCGACGTCACCGGTCAGGCCCTCGCCGTGGACGTCGCAGTCCATCGTGATCTCGCCCTCGAAGGTGCGGTTTTTCCATCTCTTGTAGGGCGTACCGGCATTCAGGACCAGAGCGGCTAGATCCGGATTCGCATCCTCCATGCTGCCGATATGGTTGTGGTTGAAGAGCAAATTGTAGCCGGCCGGCAGCTCGCCCGCTTTCTTCCTCTCCCACACATGGACCTGGACGTTTGCTCCCGACTGGTGCAGGATCGACGCCAGCGTTGCGCCACCCACGCCGGCGCCAATAATGCCGACGCGAAAGGGTGCTGGGCGGGCGGCCGAACTGAAGCGTCTTGCGAGATGATGGTATCTCATTGTAAAGAGGGCAGACCACAGAGCTTCCGGTTTCGGTTCCGGTGACAGACGAAGGCCTCCTGAAGGCCTCCTGCCCGCACACGAAGGCGGGGTACAACAGCCCGCGCGCTCTCTTTCTTTTTCGTGTTAGTGCCAGTGCCAGTGTCGTGAGAAGAGGTCTACCGAGACGTCCGACTACGAAAAAAGAATCCTCGTCTCGCACACGGAGTGCGAGGTACTCGGGCTTTCCATCCCAAACTGTCAATCCCCATTCTCACGGCCGGGGTGAGGCGCGCGCGGGGGCGGCGGGTGTGCGGGATGTCTGAGGGCCCGAGAGCGATATGCCATGTCCCGCCTTGCGTTTGTTCGTAACGCTCGAAAAAGAATTTAAAACACTACTCTCTCTCACAGCAGACAGGCTCGACACAGGTGCGAACTGGCGCGTGCTAGCACTATCACAGGCTCGAAAAAGAATTTAAACAAAAGAACTCTCTCTCACAGCAGACAGGCTCGACACAGGTGCGAGAGAGAATTCGTGGCATCCTATGGGTCGTCCAGAGTATCGACCTCTGGCTTGTCAGCCAGCCCCACTTTGAGGGCGCCATGAAGTACAGCGCGATCGCCACCTCGCTGGCCTCTCCGCAGGCCCCCCCGACCGCGTCGAACTCATCGGCGCGGGCTCTCTCGGCTACGGGACCGGCCCCAGCTTCGGCTGAGGGCTAACAAGCTGCCGAGCCCAAATCACTGTGAGAGTCGTGATTTCTTGTTGGTTAATAAAAATCTCTCTCAGGTGCGAACTGGCGCGTGCTAGAATTTTACAACCAAGCTCCCTCGCAGATTGCTAGCACAGAGAACAAGCGCGGGCAACTGCGCCATGGCCTCCCACCGCATCGGCGCCCGCGTCGCGGGCCTCTCGCCAGAGCAACTCGTCGCCATCATCGAGGCGCAGGCGGGCGCGAGCGACGCCGCGCTGCGCGTGGCGGAGGAGCACGCCGCTCGGCTCGTGGAGCAGCCCGAGTGGGTGCTCTCCGAGGTCCTCCTCTCGCCGGACCTCGCCCCGCACATCCTCGCCCAGCTGCCGACCAAGGCGCACGCCGTCAAGGGGACGTGCCGCGCGTGGCGTCGCGGCTGGGAGGAGACGCTGAAGAAGCGCGAGAGGCCGCGCTTGGTCGTGACCGGCGGCCGGGGCGGTGGCGAGTCGCGCAACTCGCTGGAGCGGTACGACCCGTCCACAAATGAGTGGGAGCAGCGGGAGGCTGTGGCGCCGATGCCGACGGCACGAAGCTATGTCGGCACGGCGATGCTCGAAGGGAAGCTCTACGCGGCGGGCGGCAACAATGAGGCTGACGACATGACTTCCAACTCGGTGGAGCGGTACGACTTTGCTGCGAATGCGTGGGAGGCGGTGGCGCCGATGGCGTCGGCGCGGCAGGAACACGCCGTGGCGGTGCTCGAGGGCAAGCTGTACGCGCTGGGAGGGGCCACAGCAACGACGACTACGACTTCCTCAGCTCCGTGGAGGGGTACGACCCAGCGTTGGATGCGTGGGAGGCGGTGGCGCCGATGGCGGAGGAGCGGGACGACCATGGTGTGGCGGTGCTCGACGGCAAGCTGTACGCTCTGGGAGGCTCAGCAACGACGACGACGACGACTTCCTCAGCTCCGTGGAGGCGTACGACCCGGCGTTGGAGGCGTGGGAGGCGGTGGCGCCAATGAGGGCGGCTCGTGCAAACCTCGCCGTGGCGGTGCTCGACGGCAAGCTGTACGCGGTGGGCGGCTTCGGTAACGGTGACTACCTCAACTCGGTGGAGCGATACGATCCGGCGACGAACGCGTGGGAGGCAGTGGCGCCGATGGCGTCGGCGCGGGGCGACCATGGTGTGGCGGTGCTCGACGGCAAGCTCTATGCTGTGGGTGGCTTCAACGCCTACTACGGCCACCTCAGCTCGGTGGAGCGGTACGACACTGTGTGCTCTAAGTGGCTGAAAACTTGATCAATTGTTTTTTGAGCCCCTACGCCCTCGGGACGCGCACCGCGCTACTGCTCCCGGGCCAGGGGTGTAAGGGAACACACTAGGGCACACCAGGGCCGGTCTAGCCGGCCTTATCCCGCCCACAGCCTTCGAAAACGCACAAAAATCGCACCGCCGGAGCCGCGGCGAATCGCCGCTGGAGGCCGCGTGTCGCGCCACCGACGGCCGCACGTCGAACCCCCGGCTCCGCGCCGCAGCTCCACCGCGCCGGCCATCCAGCGCGCACCCCCCAAGCTGCTGGTGCCCTCTTAAATGGCCACAAAGCCTCGAAAGGAGCCGTCGACCGACACCTAACAGAGGGATGTCGGGTGCGGGCTCGCCGCTCTTGCGAGCGGTCGGCGGCGTCTAGGGCGGAGCCAGCGGTAGTAGCGGTGGTGCCGGCGTGTGCCGTGACGGAGGGGGTGGCGGCGGGGCGCGGACGGCGGGGTGCGGCGGCCGAGGCTCGAGCGGGGGGGGGCGGCAGCGGTGGCACCATCGTCGGCGGAAGTTCGACCTGGCGGGTGAGAGGTGGGAGGCGCCGAGGGCGGAACCGCTGCGGACGCGGCGAGGTTGGAGGCGCAGAGGCCGAGGCGGCACGGGCGGCGGCGCCGACGGCACTGCAGCGCCGGTGCAGCGCCGGGGAGGGCGGCTGAGGTGGCGCGGACGGCGGTGGCGAGAAGGCGGGCGGAAGCTTAGACGGGTGGTGGTGGAGGAGGAGGCGGCAAAATCACGGGCGAAGCGCCGAGGGGGGCGGCGGAGGCGGTGCACCAGCGGTGGGGAGGGTAGCTACGGCGGCGGGGTAGCGGCCAGCATCGCCAGGGGGGGCGGGAGGTGCCGCGGGTGCCGCACGGGCGGCGGCGGCCGTGCCGGTGATGGCGCCTGGTAAAGGGGAGGCGCGGGTCTGAGAGGCGGACGCGCGGGCGGGAGAGGTGAGTGAGACCACGCACGCGGCTGCGGTCGCGTCGCGCCGTGCGGGAGGGGCGCCGGCGCAACCACGGCGGCAGCCGAGGCGGCTCATCGCGCCGTACAGAGGCTCCGGGGAGGCGCGCGGTGCGGCGGCGCACCGGTGGATCGCCGCGGCAAAGTGTAGCCGAGGCGGGGCGGCAAGCGCCCGAGCCGGCCGTTGGGGCGGCGCCGACGCCGCCCAGGATGCCGTGGGCCGATGGTGCGGAGGAGCGGCCGCTCCCCCTCTCGGGGCGGCCGCAAAACCTGTGCAGCAGCAGCACGCCGAGAACGCGCCTGCGGGGGTGAGGTGCCTAATGTGAGATTGCGGGCCCCGCCGCGGTTATTTTCTCCCTCCAAAGTGCATGTGCCTTGGGAAGGGGGTGCAAGCACACCTCCGCTACTCGGAATATAGGGTCATGCGACTCGATCGCGAGCGAGCGCGGGTAGACGGTGGCGTCCGCAAAGCGACGGCTCGCGCGCGACCGCGGGCTTGCGCGTCGGCCGTGCGCGGGCAGAGGGCGCGGAGGGGCGAGCGGTGGCGGTCGCTCGCCCGGGCAACGCGCGCGCGGGCGGCGCGCCGCAGCGGGGAGCGCCCAGGGGCGCGGCGCGTGCTGGCTGCGAGCGGGCGCTTGACATCGTTTTTGAGGAGAGATAGCCCAAAAATATACCGCCGGATAGAGCACACAGTGACCCGCGACGAACGCGTGGGAGGCGGTGGCGTCGATGGCGGCGGCTCGAAGTCGCCTCTCTGTGGCGGTGCTGGACGGCGGTGGGCGGGCAGGATGCCGGCCACAATCGCCTCAGCTCGGTTGGAGCCGTAACATTCTTTTATCTTCCACCTTCGGATCATCCGTGCAAGCTGCAACAGCATTTTAAATAGGCATCTAAAACTCAAAAGAAAAACAGCGGTCACTGCCTTACATAAATACACGCGTTGACGCGCACGAAGATGTACAGACAGGGGACGAAGATGCACACAGAAGGTACAAAGGGCGGCTAGGGTGGCAGATACATGCACATGCATGCAGTGACCGCGCCCGCTCTGCTGCCTCTCCCCCGCGAGGCCAAAGTACGTTGGTCTACACGTGCTCCCACAGGAAGGCGAGTGTCTCCTCGAGGGCCCTCTCCACCTCGGCGGCGACCGCGCCGTCGTCGACGTCTCCGCGCGTGACCCACCCGTGGTCCATCGTCAGGAAAGCGCGCGCGTGACCTGCGGCAGGAACAGAAGCGCGCTGAGGGTGGGACTAAACGGACGGCGCGTGGACACACAAGCGCCGAACACAACCAGTCGAACACGTGTCTGAGTGTGCTAGTCCGAATACAAGGACCCGCACCGCCGCTGGCCGCCAGGGCACGCGCCACGGCGCCGCCGGGCTGGACGTTTGGCGGGTCGTTTCCGGCCGAGAGCAGCAGCAGCGGCGTCCGCACCCGCGCCGCGAGCGCCTCGTCCGAGCCGAAGCCGCAGCTGCGCTCGTTCTTCAGGCTCGGGTGCGCTCCCACTCCTACTCTCAGTGACTCCATCGAGAGACGCCGCTCACACCGCTTGAGCGGGTGCGCTCCCGCGCGCTGCATGCGAGGGGCGCGAGATCTGGGGAGATATGGGGAGATATGGGGAGATATGGGGAGATACGGGGAGATACGGGGAGATATGGGGAGATACGGGGGAGATATGGGGAGATACGGGGAGATATGGGGAGCTCCCGCGCGCCGCATGCGAGGGGCACGCCCGCCGCCGACGCATGCGCGAGCGCCCACGCGCCCCAGCAGAAGCCGACGGCGCCGACGCGGCGGCCGCCACACCGTTGCTGCAGCCACTCTGTCACGCGGCGCACGTCCTCAACCACCGAAGCCACCGGCGTCGAGACCGAGCGTATCCACTCGACCTGCGAGAGGGTTTCCGAGAAGGTCCGCAGAAGGCTCCAAGAACGTGCTCGTCGGGCGGAGCGGCCACTGCACCTTACACGGTTTGCCTGCGGCGCTGTCGCCGCGGTGGCAGTCGGCCTAGTGTGAGCACGGGGGCTGCATGGCGCGAGGGCTACAGGCACAGTGAGACCGCGATCAGTGAAGTACAGCCGAATGTGCGTCTTCGTCGAGGTGCAGTGGGCTGTCTTCCGCATCTCGGCAGTTGGCCAGCGCGACGGCGAACCCCTCGACGGCGAACGTGTCACAGATGGCGCGTAGCCGCCCCGCCGCCGGCCCCTCCACCCCCCAAATCTCCTGAAGCACAACGATGCCAGGAGGGGCCGCGCCCGAAGCCACCGGGCGGTCGGGCGGGACGTAGTACACCGGAAGGTCGCCTAGCGCGCGTGAATGAGGAGCATTGAGCGTGAGCACGAGGGCTGCGCATGCCGTGAATGGCGAAGCGCAGTGCACCCGAACACGTGTCAAATGAGTGCTGGTAGCCGCGCACTCCGCCTCGAGATACGGGGAGATATGAAGAGATACGGGGAGGCATTGGGAGATCATCCGCATCTAAGGCGACCGCCATCGAGCATGAGGTCCTCCCCCATCGGGGTGTGCGTGCCTGCCGCATGCAGCGCTGGCCACGCACGCCTCCGCTCGGCGTGAGAGTGGAGCGATGCGCGGCCGCTGCCTAGCGGGAGGAAGGCCGGGCCCGCCGCGCACGCAGCGAGCACGCCACTGGAGGCGGACCCAGGCAGCAGCACAGCGCGCCTTAGCCCACCGCGGCGCGCCTTAGCCCACTGCTGACCGCCGGCAGAGACAGCGTGCGCGGCCCGAGGAGCGCACGCGCGCGGCGGCGCACCGCGCGGCGGCGCGTTTCCGCCCGCGCTGCCGGCGAGAGCGGCCGGCTGGACCACGACGCAGCGCGCTTCAAGACTCCGGCGCGGCGCCGCGTCCGGCGGCGGCCGCGCCTGTGCGTGGACGTGTGAGGCATGTGCGGGGGCGCGGGCCGAAGCACGGAGACAGGGATGGATGCAGACATGGAGATGGACATGTGCATGTGCATGTGCATGCGCATGTGCACGTGCATGTGCAACTTGCGCATGCGGGTGGAGAGGCACGGATGCGTTGGGCATGGATGCGGGGAGGGGCGCCTCGGCGGGGTCGGTGGGCTGGATCGCGGTGTGGAAGACCCACCGCGCGGGCGCGCGGTCCGGCGGCTGCTCGAACCCGCCATAGAAGACGAGCGCCTGGGCGAGAGAGGAGGAGGTGAGGAGGAGGTGAGGAGGAGGTGAGGAGGAATGAGTGTGGAGCGAGTGCGGAGCGAAGGCGTGGACATGGGGGCTGGAGAGGCGGGGGGAGGCGAGGGTGGGGGTCAGCGAGGCTGACGGCACCTCGTCCGCCGTCTGCCGAGGGAAGTAGACCCAGCGGTGCTTGGAGCAGTGCGCGACGGAAGAGTTGTACTTGACGCCGCCGTCCCGCGTCACCATCCCGTAGCTGAAGAGCTGCTCCGCGGGATCGACGCTTCTCGCGTCGAGCACGGCTAGCGGCTCCCGCTCCTACGGCGAGAAAACTCGGTGGAATACGACAGCCAAGAGTGGCAGTGTTCCGCCGGCGCCAGACATCGGCCCTCTTGCCATGTGTGCGTGCTAGCCCCACGGCGTGGAGTGCGCTGAAGTCCCTCGCCTGAGCCTGAGTGTGCTCCGCGTGCGTGCCACCGCCCGATTTTAGCGTCTAGGCTCGCGAGCCACAGGCGCGAGGCCGCGCCAGCAGTTGATGATGCCATACGCGCGCTCTCCCATCTCACAGCTGGCGGTGACGCCGGCGGGGAGCCTGCCCGCCGCCTCCAGCTGGCCGATGAGGAGCAGCGCGTTTGCCTTTGTGTAGTCGCTGTGCGCTCGAAACACCGCCGCGCCGGCGGTGCTCTTTGCGCCTCCCGGACCCTTGCGGCTGTCGCGGTTGTCTCGCGCGGCGTCGCGGCGAAGGTGGTGAAAGCCGACAACATGCTCGGCGCCGGTGGCGGCCATCACACGCGATTCCATCTCAGCATAGTAGACGCGGCGTATCGACTCCTCGTCGTCCAAGTCGGCGCTTGTCGGCCAATCCCACAGCTCAAAGCCCTCTCGGGCCAGCGAAGGCGCCGTCGGCAGCGAGCGCCCGTTGCCCACGCACATCTCGTGCGCCTGTTCCTCGTCGTGAAGCAGCGGCAGCGCTCCCAGGTACCGTTCGGGAGGTATGTGGGACATCTTCTCGAAGAGTTGCTGGTCGATGATGCGCCCACTCTGTCGGCCCTCGGGCGGGAGAACGGGATAGACCACTCGCGCTGTCGCCGCAGTGGATGCGGCGCGAGCGAGAAGGGCGATGCGAGTGCGCGCAGCGGGCAGCTGCCGAGGCAGCATGAACTATGCCACTACGTCTGGTCTGGCAGCGTATCCCTCCTCGTCTCCCAGCAGGCGTCGACTCGCCGAGCCAAGAGGGGGTACAAGCGACGAAGCGAGTTGAGCGCAGCGCTTTTCTTTTTCTTTTTGCTAGAGCCAAGAGTTGAGATAGAGTTTTTCTTTTTCTTTTTCCTAACGTCAACGTCAGTTAGCAGGATTGGAATTGACGCGTTTTTTACAGTTCCGGACGGGCATTAAGAACCCCCCCCTTAAGAACCTGAGGCTTACATTTTGGCGGATTGTCGCCGATCTAGCTAAGAACCTGAGCCTGGGCTAAGGCTTGGTCGGACCGTCGGACACCCATCTCGACCTGCACCTTTTCCGCTGGAGGACTTTTCCGGGGCCAAGGCGAGCACCTCTGGTCAGGAAGACGTGCCAGCCGCATGTCAGACGTGGCCGCCGCGATTGCCACTGCCGCCGGGCCTGCACTGCCGCCGGGCCTGCCCCCGCCGCGGCAGAGGCAGGCCAAAGCGAGACGCAGGCAAGGGTGTCCGCCCGCCGACCGAGACGACCGGCTTTGTACACGATGACAACTTACAGAAACGGTCGTAGGACCCCCCCCCCCTAAGAACCTGAGGCTCGCGTGCCGGCCTGCCTTCGACATAGCTAAGAACCTGAGCCTGGGCTCGCGCGCCGAAGTTCTTAAAACGTAAGAGCTACATACACAGAAAAACCCCGGAACTGTGCAGGATTGGAACCCGTTCTGTACCCCATGGATACCGACACGGCCGAAAGGCTGATCAGCCTCGGCTGTGGCGTGGCGGCGGCCGCTGCCGCGTCGGCCGCCACAAATCCGCTCGAGTGCGTGCGCGTGCGCTACCAGGTGGCCGACGTGCACACGTACAAAATGAAAGGGAAGTCCGTCATCAAATCGCCGACATCGCTGTTTTCATTCGGCCTGGGTATCGTGCGCAACGAGGGGTACCTACGTGGCCTCCACCTGTGCGGACTGAGCGGCTGGATCGCCTCGATGAGCTGCGCGTTTGGCGCTCGCATGGCCATGTACGACCCGGTACGCGGTGCAATCAACCGGCTCTGTGGCACGAGCAACTCCGGCACGGCCTTCGCTGCGGGCCTGTGCACAGGCGCACTCTCCAACTTCGCCGCGTGCCCTTTGTTCCTGGCGAAGACGAGGATCCAGGCGGCCGCCGGTCCTGGGGTCGTCGATAACACGCTCTTGGCCGAGCTCGCCGCCGTGCAGCGCGCTGGCGGGCTCGCGGCGCAGTACGCCGGCAGCCAGGCGCTGCTCTTACGCGGCGGCTGCATCGCCGGCGGCAACATGTGGGGGTACGACCTCGGCAAACGGGCGCTGAAGGCGCACGGGCACGAGGAGGGCCCGCTCTTCCACGCCGCGTGCTCCGCCTTCTCGGCCGTCACCGCGAGCGTGCTGGCGGCGCCGGCCGACCTTGTCCTCAACCGCTTCCACGCGGCCACCGTACGAGGAGCCCGCTCGCCCTTCACGTCGATCGGTGCGTGCGCGCTCGCGGTGGTGCGCAACGACGGCGTGGCGGCGCTATTCCGGGGCGTCGGCGCCAACTTCGTCAAGATGGCGCCGACCTTCCTCGGCACGCTGCCGCTCTACGAGCAGTTCCGCCGCCTGGCGGGCCTGGGCTACCTGCAGACCTGATGGGCGAGGCAGCGCTTCGGCCGGCGGGCCGGGGAATCGCTTGAGAGGGCCCGGCGGTGCGTACTGTATCATGGGTGGGACGCATCCTCCTAATTGTACAATCGAAACGTACTAGCTAACTACACTCCACAGTACTCCACGTACAGGTATAAGGTAAGGTAAGGTAAACTTCTCCACACACACGAGGTGGTGGGGCAAGGGGGGTACACAATGTACTTAATGTAGCGTACACTACACAGTCGGGTTCACGTATCACGTTGTATACCTGTTGCTCACATTTCACAGTCACACTGTGACAGTCCTGACAGCAACCGTGAACCGATCAAGCAATGTCCAATGACGGCATACAAGGTATACACATTTTGCTCTCGGTGGGAGGTAGGCGTCACCAAACGGCGATGCAGCGGACCTCGAGGCTCTTTCGCGGCGGCGGCGGCGGCGCGTCGCCTGCCGCGTCCCGCCCGAGGTCGAAGGCCGTGTGGAAGAGCACACGAAAGGGGCGCTCGCCGCCCTCGGCCGAGCCGAAAGCTTTGAAGAGGAGGAGCTCATCCTTGCGCAGCGCCGGGTAGTAAAACCACCGATGCGCGGCCGAGTGCCGCAACGTATAGTTGAAGGCGACGTGCCCTCCGTTTGTGATTGGGTAGGACATCACCTCGTCCGAGCCCCAGGCGACCGTCGCGTCGTCGAGCAGCGCGAGCGGCGTGCTCTGCAGCGCGCCCTCGCCCGGCGCGGCATGCCGCCACGCGTTGATGACTGCCCAGCGCCGGCCGCCGCTCAGATGCTCACGCGCGAAGCCCTCGTCGATGGTGGCCGGGCCCATGCTCGCCCACGCGCCCTCGATCGCCAGAATCTCGTCGACCCGCCACTGCCACGAGCGGTCCGACGAGTCGGTGTGCACGAGGAACGCCGGCGGGCCGTGGCCGGCTGGCTTCCCCGCCTAAGGTAAGGGAGGGGCAACCCACGCGACTCCGGGTCTGAAGGCAGGAGCCCCCACAACATTACACGTGCATGTACATGTGCGCAAGGCCCGGTGCGCGTGGGTGAGCGGTGTGGTGTGTTTGAGTGTTTGCGTGTGTGGGGTGGGGGGGTGGGGGGGGATCACGCCTCCCCCGTCGCGCCGTGGCGGCGGACGTGGTCGTACGGAAAGACGAGCGTGGCGCCCGTCGCCTGCTTGATGACGTCGACGAGGTGCGGGTAATAGTGCTCCTCCACGTACGCGTCGTCATCAACGCGGCCGTCCGGTAGCGGCGGCGAGAAGCACACCTAGCAGAAGCGACTCGTCGAGAGGGAGCAGCTCCCAGAACAGACGCCAAGCTTCTGAGCGGTACGTGTGTGGGGGCCCAATGGGATTGCGGTGCTAACAGGAGCCCACCTCGAAGCCGAGCGACGCGAGCGATGGCGGGGGCGTCGCCGCCCGCGCGTTGTGCACGACCTGCTCCGACGGCACCACGGCCACCTCCGAGAAGCGCTCCGGCTCCACCTGCGGCTCGCGCGCGAGCGGCCACCGGCCGTGCTGGCGCATGAAGGAGAAGGTCGGCAGGCCAGGATCCTCCACCCTGTCCGCCTGCAGCCCCAACTGCTGCCCGCTCGGCGGCCTCGCGCAATAGCTCAATGGCACAACGATGCTACCCGCGCAAACGGCCGCTTCGTCGGAGGACAGGTTTCGCGCCGCTGGGGAGTGGAAAGCGCGGGCAGAGGCGCCGGTGGCCGTGCGCGCAGCAGTTGCTGCGCGCATCTGCGCCGCCTCGGTTCTCTGCCCCGTTCTGACCTTGCGCCACCAAGTGCGGATGGCGCCTGCAACCTCGTGCGGCCGCTCGACCAGGGCAAGGTGGCCCGTCCTCTGAAGGACGCGCATCTCCGCGGTGGGCGCACCGCCGAGCGACGCGAGGCTCCGCTGCGCCTCGGAGAGCGGCACCAGCTCGTCTTCGGCCCCGTGGACGATGAGGATCGGCACTCCGCCGCTCGCGAGGCGGCGGAGCGTCTCGTGCTGGCAGGGGCGCCTGTCGAGGGCCTGCAGCTGCCTGAGGAAGCCGTCGAGGCCGGCGGCGGCGGCGTTGGCCTCGCGCGCGGCGCGGATCGACGCCGACGCGCCCGGCGGCAGGCTCTCGTGGTGGACGGCCTTCCTCCAGGAGTGGTCCACCTACGGGGTGTGTGGGGACGTGTGTGGTGCACTTGCCACGGAGGAAGCGGCCCTCCGGAAGAGGCCGTCGCCTCCGCCATCAGCCCCTCAGACGTCGCGATGGCGGCCCGCCTCGCCATCGCCGCCTTGCCGCTGCCGCTCTGCGCCGAAGCGCTCGTGCTGAGCAGCACAAGGCCGCGGAGCTGCGGGCCGGCCTCCGGCGTGTCGAGCCACCGCCGCGCGGCCGCGAGCGCGACCATACCGCCGTACGAGTGCCCCACCAGCACCACCTGACGGGACGATCCTGGACACGTCACCGCCGATGCGTCCCCCTCCGCCGCGTGCGTCGCCTCGGCTGCCGGCGGCACCTCCTCGCCGGCATGCGCAGCGTGCAACGCCTCGGCGGCGGCCTCCACCGAATCGTGCGACCGCGTGTGCGCCGTCGCGTCGGCGCACGGCGCCGCCCAGCCCACCTCTCTCGCGACATCGGATTCTCACCCGCGACATCGGATCCTCACATCGGGGCACGACGTATGGCGGCGGAGGCTAGGGCAGCAGTAGTGGGAGGGTGGCAGAGGGGAGGGCAACAGCAGTGAGAAGGTGGCGGTGCCGAGGGAGGCAGTGGCGAGGGTGGGTGTGGCGAGGGAGGCAGTGGCGAGGGTGGGTGTGGCGAGCGCGACACACACCTCGCGCGCGACGAGCGGCAGGAACTGCGAGCCGCCGCCGTGCAGCCCAGGCAAGTAGACGAGAGTCGGGTCGCGCCGGGTCGTCGCCTGCGGGAGGTCAGTCATTCAGTGTTGCACACGGTCCCAGCACGGACGACGGGGCGCACGCACTCGCGGAGCACACACGCGGGGCATTGCACATTAGGCGGTGTGTGCGTTCTCAGGGAAAGGCATCACCACACGCAGACATAAGTGCAATAGTCAGAGGGGCGCCCGCGGGAGGGAGGCGACCAAGGTCTTTGCACAGCCGCTCTACTCCTCCACTCGTACTCCTCCCTGGGCCTATCTCCGTGGTCCGCGGCTGCCTGCGGCCGCAGCTCGACCGCCGCGCCCTCCTATCGGACATGCCGTGAACAGTCACGGGACCTGTCGCGTCGCAGGTCGTGCAACAGCGGCCGCCTTGAACTCGACGATGAACTGGCGGAAGAGTCTGGACTTCGAGCTGTTCTCGAGCCCGTGGAAGTGCGAGGAGCGCTCGCCGCCGTCGAGGGTATCGAGCCAGAAGACCTGGAGGACGGCCGCAGGGCAGCCTTGGGGCCCGGCTCTGGGGGTGCGGGCTGTGGGCCGGCGCCAAAAGACCTTGCGCGCGGGCGCCGTGTTCGGCGGGCAGCGCGGGGCGAGGGCGGCCGGCGGCGGCGTCTGCCCGCCGCGCCACTCGAGGCGTCGTGTCTCCGCGTCGTGCCTAAGGGGTGAGGTGTAGAGGGTTGGTGGGGCAAGCGCCAGATCGCCCTCCCATCTCGGCTACATCTCCGGTACCTCCCGGGGCTGCCGAGATGTGTCTCGGCTACTCTCGGCTATATCTCGCAGGTTGAGGAAAAAGTAGGGGTAGACGTGCTGGTGGGCGTGGCAGCGGCTGTAGCCGGCCGGCAGCTCGAAGCGCCACACGCGCACGAGGTCGTTTTCGAGCAGCACCTCGTTCGCGATGTCGGTCGTGACTGTCCACGGCCGCGGCCGAGGCGGATCCTCCTCCGAGTCCGGAATGTATGCACATGAGACGGATGAAGGAAGGGGAGGCCAGCCGCCGAGCGGCCCGCTGCCCGTTCCCGAGTACGGCTTGCACACGACAATGTGAGCCTCGAGCGTGCCGGCGGCATCGGCGGCTGCTGCATGCACGCCGACACAGCCAGCGCCCGCGCCGAATGGATTCCACACCGCCACCGGTGCGCCGCCCGGCAGTGCCTCCGACCGGCGGCCGACGATCTCGGCGGGGCCGCCCCAGTAGAGAAGGAGATGGTCGATGCCGTGGAGAGCGTCGGCGTGCGTCAGCAGGCGCTTGGTCTCCAGGCCGCTCATCTCCAGGCTGACGACCGCTGTGCGGGCGTTCTCAAAGAGGAGTCGCGAGCCGGGCAATAGATCGGCGACAGTGCCACCTGACCCCGAATATGTTCTCTCGCTGCATCTCTCTGCGGGCGAGACATCGGCGAAGCCACAGAGGGAGCCGTCCGCCGCGAGCGCTTGAAAGATGCTGCCACGGCATGACGATGAGACACCACGGCGGCGGCGCTCGAGCTCAACGAATGTTCGGCGTGCGTACGCGGTGGAGATCCTTGTGCTGGCGACGGACCGCGCTGATGGCCGCATCGGCCGCCACCTCTCCGACAGAGGGGTACAGGCTACATACTCTCGTGAGGCTGTGAAAGCACGCCCACCCTAGCGGGATTGGGCACTTGCCCCCGAAGGCAAGTGCGTCTGATTCACAGCTTAGGAGAGTACAGGCTACAGTGTAGACAAAAAAGAAAAGGAAGGGCACCCGCTAACCTCCCCCCGCGGTCCCCGTCGGGGACCGCAGATTACGGTCCCACCCGACTGGTTGGTGTCCATCTCAGAGACCGCAGGAGGTCATGAGGGTCGATTGGAGGGCCAACCCGACAATGCCTAAACCCAGTAAAGCTCAAGTGCCCGAGGACCCCTCGCAAACGCCCACGCCGTGTTGGACAGCTCCTGCTCAGTGAACTCGCCCAGCCGCGGCACCGCCTCCTCTGCCACCGCCGCAAACAGCGCAGGCGCCTGGATGTCAGCCGTCGCAAACGCCCACGCCGTGTTGGAGAGGCCCTGCGCGGTGAAATCGCCCAGCCGCGGCACAGCCTCCTCTGCCACCGCCGCAAACAGCGCAGGCGCCGGGATGTCAGCCGTCGCAAACGCCCACGCCGTGTTGGAGAGGCCCTGCGCGGTGAAATCGCCCAGCCGCGGCACAGCCTCCTCTGCAACCGCCGCGAATAGAGCTGGCGACGGTTCGCCCGCCGTCGCGAACGCCCACGCCGTGTTGGACAGCTCCTGCTCAGTGAACTCGCCCAGCCGCGGCACCGCCTCTTCCGCCACCGCCGCAATCAGCAGAGGCGCATGGGTGTCAGCCTTCGCAAACGCCCACGCTGTGTTGGAGAGGTTCTGTGCGCTGAACTCGCCCAGCCGCGGCACAGCCTCCTCTGCCACCGCCGCAAACAGCGCAGGCGCATGGGTGTCAGCCTTCGCAAACGCCCACGCCGTGTTGGAGAGGCCCTGCGCGGTGAAATCGCCCAGCCGCGGCACAGCCTCCTCTGCAACCGCCGCGAATAGAGCTGGCGACGGTTCGCCCGCCGTCGCGAACGCCCACGCCGTGTTGGACAGCTCTTGCTCATTGAACTCGCCCAGCCGCGGCGTAGCCTCCTCCGCCACCGCCGCAAACAGCGCAGGCGCGTGTATGTCAGCCTTCGCAAACGCCCACGCCGTATTGGACAGCTGCTGCTCAGTGAAATCGCCCAGCCGCGGCACAGCCTCCTCTGCAACCGCCGCGAATAGAGCTGGCGACGGCTCGCCCGCCGTCGCGAACGCCCACACCGTATTGGACAGATCTTGCTCATTGAACTCGCCCAGCCGCGGCGTAGCCTCCTCCGCCACCGCCGCAAACAGCGCAGGCGCGTGTATGTCAGTCTTCGCAAACGCCCACGCCGTGTTGGAGAGGGCCTGCGCAGTGAACTCGCCCAGCCGCGGCACAGCCTCCTGTGCAACCGCCGCAAACAGCGCAGGCGCATGTATGTCAGCCTTCGCAAACGCCCACGCCGTATTGGACAGCTGCTGCTCTGTGAAATCGCCCAGCCGCGGCACAGCCTCCTCTGCAACCGCCGCGAATAGAGCTGGCGACGGTTCGCCCGCCGTCGCGAACGCCCACGCCGTGTTGGACAGCTCTTGCTCATTGAACTCGCCCAGCCGCGGCACAGCCTCCTCTGCAACCGCCGCAAACAGCGCAGGCGCGTGTATGTCAGCCTTCGCAAACGCCCACGCCGTATTGGACAGCTGCTGCTCAGTGAAATCGCCCAGCCGCGGCACAGCCTCCTCTGCAACCGCCGCGAATAGAGCTGGCGACGGTTCGCCCGCCGTCGCGAACGCCCACACCGTATTGGACAGATCTTGCTCATTGAACTCGCCCAGCCGCGGCACAGCCTCCTCTGCAACCGCCGCGAATAGAGCTGGCGACGGTTCGCCCGCCGTCGCGAACGCCCACACCGTGTTGGACAGCTCCTGCTCAGTGAACTCGCCCAGCCGCGGCACAGCCTCCTCTGCAACCGCCGCAAACAGCGCAGGCGCATGGGTGTCAGCCTTCGCAAACGCCCACACCGTGTTGGACAGATGCTGCGCTTTGAACTCGCCCAGCCGCGGTATAGCCGCCTTGGCCAGTGCATGCCACACCTCAGGGCCCGCATCAAATCCTAGCTCGTCAACCATCACTGCGATCCCGTGCGCAATGTTGGCAATCGGCTGCGCTTTAGCGCGCGGCAGGACGGCCCGCGCCGAGTCGAGGAGTGGCCACAGCGTGTCCGGCCGCCTGCGCAGCTCGTTGCGTAGCCAAGCGCGCTCGCGTCCGCCTCGGCGGCGAATTAGCTTGCCGAGCGAGTTCCAGCTCGCGCTCACATCCATTGGCTGCATTTTAGATGCATATCTCTCGTGTACATCAAGCACGTCCTGCACGCTCCGCAGCTCGCCAATGCGGGGCACGCGGCTGGAGCTGGGTTTGCTGCCGCGGTTGTCGCGGCAGATAATGGCGTTGCGCCCTGGATGACTCTGCGAGGCCAGGCTGAATCGTCTGGGAGGCAGCAGCGCGCCAGCTGCCGAGCAGCGCAGCCCGCATGGTGCACCGGCGAGTCGCGAGTCGCGGAACCAGCAGGCGCCGAGCCGACGGCTGAACGAGTTGAGCATGAACGAACGAGTCACCGCCGAGGGTGAGCTGTCGGCGACGCGTGCCGGTTCGGCGGCAAGCCGCTTCCCCACAATGGGCCAGTACAATGAAGCCAGCCCACCGGACCGGGGGGGGGGGTTGGCTATGGTTTGCATCCCACAACGACCCTTCGGCGGGCGCTCAACCATCTTGACCCGTCCAAGTGCCGCGTTGCCCCTGTCGAATTCATTGATGCAGAGAGAGAGATCATTGTGAGAGTCGTGATTTCTTGTTGGTTTTCTGAAATCTCTCTCTTTGTGCAGCGGTCGCGATCAAGGAGCCACAGCTTGGGACGGACCACCGCGAGTCGCAACGCGGAGGTGTCATGAGCGTGCGTGAGGAGGAGGGTCACTCGGACTCGCGGGTCAGTGTCAGCGCTGACCGCTGTCACTCCGTCCGTCCGCCGTGTTTCCATCAGGCTGATTGCCGCATCGTGAAGTGTACACCTCGGCTAGCTCCTCTCCGACTCCGTCTCCAAAACAAAAACAAATCTCCTCCTCCAAAACATGGAGTGTCGGGAAATAATTTTTTCCTATACGACAGTCAGATTAAAGAGATAGATCTAAGTCAGGACTCAGGTGTCCGCACACCGCATCAAAGTCAAACGCAATCTGTCGCATCCTCGCAAGTCGCATCGCGGCGGCCGCGTCCCCCTTTCACTGCCAAGACTCATCCCCCCCCCCCCCCCCCGCCCGCCCTCATGCCGGCGCCACGTGGTACGTCAGCACGAGATCCTCCTCCTCCTGCCGAGGGGCAACGGGGGAGCGGCGGCTGTGGCCCGCGGACAGGCGGGAAGACTCCAGGGCCGGCCTCTCCTTGCGATGGAGGGGCTTTCGCGCATCTCGTCGCATCTCGTCGCATCTCGTCGCGTCTCGTCGCGTCTCGGCGCATCTCGGCGCAATCTCGGCGCATCTCGGCGCATCTCGCGCCTTCCAGTGGATCCGCGCGATCGCGTCCAGCGTCAGGTGCGCCTCGAGGGCGACATCGCGGCAATAGACCTCGATGCGCGAGACGCCGCTGCCCGCCGCTATCGACAGGTGAGACGAGGTGGTGATGAAGAGTCACTACTG